TGTTTAAGCATTTTTATTCAAAAAACGCATTTTTATTTCAGTTTATTTCATCCTAAATACATTTTTAATATATCGAAGATAACTATGTAAATATTTATATTATAAAGCTATAAATAAAATAGTGGACGTAAATGAATAAATGTTTTTTTTTTTTAATTTCTGACAGATGAAAAAATTGATAAAGACTGGCAACTTGCACGTGCTATGGATTTGTAATTTTTTTTTAATTTGTCGAGACAACATCGCTGACGTCACGATGATAATAAAAATAATTCTGCAAATTGAATTATTATTATTTTTAAAATAAAGTTATGAAAAATAATTTTTTAAAAGCACTATTAGTGATATAAAAAAGATTGGTTGTGCGATATACATTAGGAAATAAATTTAGACAAAAATAGGCGCACTCTCTCTCTCTCTCTCTCTGCCTAGCTTGCATTCCTCGTGGGTTGGGGGTCTGCTTTTCCAATCAGTCTTCCCCTTCGCTCTGTTCATGACATCTGAGACCTGGCACTCACTCATGTCTTTTAACACATCTTTCCATCTCGTTTTGGGTGTTCCTCTGGATCTACAACCAGGGAGGGAAAATTGCAGTACCAAATTAAATACACTAAAACTAAATTAAGATTACGGTTTATAGCAAGGTAATTCCCCAAATTCTTCATTTATCTGATAAGATACCAGACTGAAATTATCGGATTTGCAACATAATTTATTTTTATATATTCGTATTATGATCTGACAAACTTTGGACCTTTAAAAATAAATCTATTCTAGATAATAATCTTTTTTTATAAGAGAAGGGGGCAAACGAGCGGCGGGGACACTGAGGTGATCAACGACACCCATCATCATCAGCTTCTATTCGTCCCCACCGAGGGGCTCGGAGTCTACCCTAAGTTAAAGGTGATTAGGCCATAGTCAACCACGCTGGCCAAGTGCGGTTTGGTTTGACTTCACACATATCTTTGAATTACTTCTCAGATATGTGCAGGTTGCATCACGATGTTTTCCTTCACCGTAAGAACGTCGGATAAATGTGCATATGTAAATCGGAAATCAACAAAACACATTGGTACATGGCGGGATTCGAACCCAGGACCTACAGATTGCAAGGCAAGTGCTTGACCACTGAGCCATCGACGCTCCTAGAGCTAACGACACCCATAGACATCTGCAACACCAGAGGAACTGCAGATGCGTTGCCGGCCTTTAAGGAAATGGTATGCTCTGGACTAGAGGACTGGAATATAGGTTCAAAATCATGGCTTCTACATTTGCTGAAGCGCCAATAGCCTAATGGTTAAGGGTATTTCCGATCACGTGGTCAAAAGTTCGAATCCAATTCGACTATTGTCGTTAACAATATCCTAGCACAAGCCTAGAGCTTACCTAGATTGGTACAAGAAATATTCGTAAATTAACAAAAAAATCTGCTAGTATAAATATGTATTTAAAAAAAAATAAAAGAGTTGCAGATTTTTTTATCTGTTCTTTATTAAATGAGACAAAGACCTTACTGGACTAGAGTTTATTTGAAAAATTCACCCAAAAGAGTTTCCAATAGTAGTTTTAACCGTTTAAGATTTTAAAATAAATAACGAAGACCCGTTACAATGTTAACCTACTATATAAATAAATCTGTCAGACGTCTGTCTGGTAATACTGCATTCGTTTTTTCATCATTTTAAATTCGAAAAAACTGCACCTACGCAACATAATATATCGATTTTTTATTCGATTTTTTTTCGTTAGTAAAATTTATGTAGTTTTAAACAAATTTTAAATTACACTAAACTAGATAATAATAATAATAATAAAACTTCTTGATTGCCATCACACAAATACATCAAATCACACAGTAATTACAAAAATATATGTATGACGACAATGGGCTACAGGCTCAGCGTGTACCGCATGGCGCCCGTAACTCCGTCCGCGTGGATTTTATAAATAACTTAATAAGTAGCCTATGTATTCTTCCAGACTATGTTCTAGACCTTTATCAAGATCCATGTAGCTTCTGGAAATACCTTCTAAAAACATCCATCCATACGACAGAAGATAGAAACTTCTTTCTCCGATATTAAAATGGTTAAAATCACTCCATCATTATTATTTAAAATTGACCTTAACTCTCCCACTACGCTATTTTAAAACGAGTACATGATATTGGATTTACAAAACAATAAAAAAAAACAAAGGAAAAACAACAAGCGCTATAAATAAACGTACTTACATGTTAATTTCTTTTAGCATTTTTTTTTGTTCAGCCGGTCGTGAAGTTATTATAAAATTTGCATACATTATAATATAAATATATAATATTTATATATTTTTTATATGATAACTTAGTAAAGCAACAAGCGGCCTGAAATCGTCGAAATAGCGAAGTCCTTCCCATAGACATCTGCAATTGCAGATGTGTTGCTTATCTTTAATCTACGGAAGGGGTTTGCAGAAAGAGAATATTTCCCCTTCCTATGCATTACCTCGTGCAGAAAATTCCCCCCTCCCATTTTTTCGTTATAAGAAAAGGGTGAGAAGGGAAACAGGACTAAAATTAGGTCTCAGGAACGCACACTCATCATAGGAAACGCGTAATTGCTTCCACTTGACGTCTGTGTGGTCGTGGTATTGCAGAGGGTAGTGCAATCTGTGCAAAAGATGTTCTTGCTGGCGTCTACTATTGTTATAATTTTCTTTTTTCACTGGAATAACGAAGAGATTAATGCTTTTAGCACGTATGTTACTTGTGAAGGTGTAGAGCCTAAACGAAACTATCTTACTTATATATGCGAAAGTTTAGATGGATGGATGGATTGGCACACATGTAGGACATAATCTGGTAGAACAAATAGGCTACTTTTGTTTATTAAGTTTTCTTTAAATTCCGCGCAGTCAGAGTCGCGGGCAACAGCTAGTTACAATATACAGGTACAATTTAATGTATTCACTTTTTGGTTACTTTAAAAGCAAAAATGCATTTTTCTTCACACATAAAATCAGGTGAACGTTCTATTCATTATTAATACGAAAAAAAAATGTAATGAATGGTTAGTAGTCTTTGACAAAAATGCGCGGGAATCGAACGCTCCTTAGAATAGAATCGCCATTGATTCGTTTTCCCGCCATTAATACTAATGCAGACGTAGAATGCGAATTTTAACGCGTTAAGACGGGCCATAGTAAAATATTGTGATGTATTATTCGCAAATTAAACGATTCAGGGCCAAATGGTCGCGCCAATGGCATACAAATTGATTCGGGTTTAGCGCGCACCAAGCACGCCGCGCGTCGACTGTTAATGAATTCAAAAATTTACGAACTGCCGGCCGGTTACATAATGTGACCTAAACAGTACAGAGTAATTCCCCACCAGAGATAACAAGTTAATAAAGCCTTTGTAAAAACAACGTATTTCCCAGTAAAAGTTTTAGGCAATCATAGACGTACGTATATGACGCCAGTTTATCATTCAGTTGATTTATAAATGATTCTTACTTCATAAATTAACATGTATTTTGTGATATTTTAATGTAAAAGTTTCTCTAATACTACGACTGCTTATCGATTTATTTCATTACAAAACAACGCTTAAATCGTTAATCGATTTTTACTCTATGATTAATTTGTATTGATAGTTTGCAAATCTCTCTGTTTATTCATAATCTATGATTACAATAATATTTTACAACGAAAAAAAAATAGCTCGACGCTGGTCGAAACGTACGTGTGAGCGTGTAGGCATGTTTTATTTGCGATTCCATCTAGCCGCGTCTATTTCATTCCACAAACACAAATACACGAGACGAAACACATATAATTCGGCGTTCTTACACGCGCCGATCATATCTGTCTAACCATAGACTTATTAAAGCTTTTATAGACGTTAGACAAATTATTACCTACAATCATAGAATAAAATTCTTTTCTCACTATGATACCATAGTCTTTTGGTGTTCCGGATGACCTTGAACGCCGATGATCACCTTGGTGATGTATGATCGGGTGATGGTCGTGTAAATCTTAATAAAAACCTTCGCTTCGCTTAGAACTTGGAACAGAATACACTTTTTTTCTTGCAATGACTTATCAAACAGAATTTTATGAACGACTGTTTACATTATGCCAGTACAGTAAAAAGTAGTGCTCAAAATCGCTGGCACACAACTAGCTATCGCTTCCGTCCATAATTTTAAAGAGGTATTAATTAAATGTACATAAAATAATCAAGAAAGCACTTTGTAACTTATCCGTCTATTGTTAAAAATAAAATTATAAATTATGTTCATTATTTCTTCAGTCCAAAATGTAATACATATTATATTTTTTAAACTCAATGTGGATTAGGTAAGGAAAAATTACAACTTTCACATACTAGCATAAAAGAATAAACCAAGATTAGATTAAACTCGATTCGATTGATTTTCTCGAAAAAGCCTAATCGAGAAGTAAATTTATTACAAAGATATTTGGCCAGGCACTTTAATATTAACGGTAGTTTACCGTAAAAGCTATTCGACTTCGTAAAAATTTGTTAGTTAAATTGGATATTTTCTTTGATAATTTACAAACAACTTTTTGGTTTTTTGCTGATTTAAGCAATATTAAAATGCCTGAATTGCTATTGGCTCTTACTAAGGGCTGGCAAAAATGCTTCAAAGTTTTCTTTTCATACTGATGTATTAATGCGACATCTTCCTTGAATAATGCAAAAAATTTATAAAGTGACTTCAAATTTGAAGGCTGGTAGACATTTCAAGTTTATGTTATGTGTCTACAGAGGGCGCTGCCTTTAAAAGTTTTTATTTATACATTAATTTATTGTAAATTGTAATATTAAAATACAAAGGTTCCAAGTTTCAAGATGATAGGAATATTTTTGCAATTAATATTTGATTAAATTAAACATAAAATAAATTTTTGATTCACTGGCTGTATCAAATGTTACCAGTGACTTACATCGCGATGTAACAACACTTTCACAAAAAACTCAACTCAACAAAAAAGTATGAGGCAGCCAAGTAAATGGCGTCTCAAGTTGTTTTTATGCGAATTCTAGTGTTTCTCTTTTACTGTGTAGTTTAAAATGTACACGTCGATCGTAACAGTTATTTAGATATACGTGTTATAATCTTATTGAAAAACATTGTTTACTTCGTCGACGTTTCATTCTTTCTACGAAACAATGGCGTCGAATGAACATTTGGAATCCCACGTAAAACTAAGTGAAAATCGTAGTTTATCTGAAGATAATAGTAACTCAAGTAGTGCTGAAGACGCCGGTGAAGGTGTTAAGCGTCGTAGAGTCAGTCACGATTATAAAAAACTGTGTAAACTGGGATACGATCCAAGTATGTCAACTGAATCCACACACGCATCTATTGATTCTAAAGGTAAGAAACCTAAGCCAATCTTATAACAAAGTACAATAATACCCTTCCATAATATTATATGCTTAATTTCAAGTCAGATGGCCTATAAAACATTTTGGTGGGAAAATAGTTAACCTATCAAATTCTATGTTACATCACATCACTGGAGGTCATAACTGTTTATAAACACATGCAGAATATAAAAGAAATAATAATAATTTAATTTACAATGAAATTTACGTCTAATAAATAACTAAACGAATACTATTGTCCTATTTTGATTGCAACAGTATATGACCTTGTAATATGCACTCACTTTCTATTTGTCATACTAGTTCAAATAAAAAAAAATTAAATTATATTATTTAAACAACTTCAAAAGTTCTAGAATATTCTTACATCACTAAAAGTGTAGAAGTTTGTAAACATAATGGAAACTTATTTTGTTTCACTTTTATAAAAGTTTCTTTGATTCATTGAGAGGAAATAATCTATGTTTTTTTAATACCATATAAAGGTTATTTATTGTAGAAAATTATAATTCATTTTTACTGATTTATTAAGAAATATATAACTATCATTCTTCATTTACAAACACGATACAAAAACATATTGTTCTTCACCATAGTCTATGAAAAAACTCAACTAAAGAAACTTCCAATAAAGTTAAACAAGTTTTAAAACTGTTGCAAGCATTTTAAATACTCTGTTTAATATTGTCTATTCAATTGAATCATAATACCTAAGGAGTATTTTACTAGTAATAATTATAATGGACACCATAAAGATCCATATTCATGTTGCTAGAATATAATAGAAGCATTTTATGGAGACTTTACTCTGTAAATAAATTGATTTTTTGTAAAAAAAAAAATAACTTGAAATAATCCATGCCGCATCTCCTTACAACTATTTTACTACAATCCTGTCAAAACCATCGAATACAATATTACACTGAAATTAAAGTTCCTGTTAAAAACACACTACTCAGCCGTCCTTGGTTGGTACATTTGAGTGACATGAACAAATATCACATAAACACAATTAGAAAATAGTATATAATAGTTATTCTTGTATATTCCAGGTAAAAAACGTAAGCACGGCAAAGATTCCCAAGAAGTTTGCGTTTGGGGAGAAAACTCTAAACCACCGAAAATGAGCAAAATATGGCCAGTATTTGATTCCGGAGGATATGGAGACGCTGCTATGTTAACGCTACATGTCGTGCAGAAATCACCAAACATTGTCAACCCACTTCTTTTTCATCAAGATAAAGATAACAGCTTACTAGAAATCAATCAAACACCATTCAAGGAAGACTGGTTTGGTGGCATCAACGCATCATGGACGCAGACAAGATTGGACCATACTATACCTCGTGATGACATCACAAAACGCATCTTTTCCTCAGTCTCCCGTCAGTTGAAGATAATCAATGCCCACTTCCAGAAGTCAATGCCAAGATACAAGTACCCCAGAGTGACAAGGTCAAACATCCTTCTAGAACATACCAATCACCGAAGACCAGCCACACACTTCAGTTTAGCTCTTAAAGCAATCAAGTTCCAGCCAACACCGAGAAGAGAACTACCATGTTATGGTAACTTGGAACTACCTTTAAAGATGAAACCGGATAAAGCCTCATCTTCACAAGTGTTTCCTGCAATTTGTACTGGGATCAAAATGGACCCAGATAAAGTTAAAAGTGAAGTGATAGTGAAAGTTGAACATGACAAAGTTAAAATAGAAAGAGAAAGAGAGAAAGTGAAAGAAAAGGACAGAGATAAAGACAGGTGAGATTAGCAATATTAAGTTGATTTGGACTAGACTCCGTCCTCTAGGAATTTAAAAATACCTTTATTAGTAGACTATGTGTTCTTTCAGACTATGTTTTACTTCTAAGCCAAATTTCAGTGAAATTCATGTAGCCATTCTGAAGATATCATGTAGCAAACCTTCAGCCATCTAAACTTTCACATTTATTTATTATTAGTAAGATTTAAAACTTTTCCACTGCACACCTCATATTCAATACTTTATTACTTGACTGATTCAGGAACTAGAGTTAGTAGGAGGTATGAGAATTCCAATTTAGTTGGTAGCTTAAATAGCTAAATCAATTTTGAGTCAGATATTTGTATGTATTTTTCATATATTTAGATTGACAGATGATAGAAGTTTAGAGATGGGCATTAGGAAAAAACCCAACAGCAATAGGGCAGCAATTCATCATTCATTTATGCATTTACAGCATTTTCGATGTTGTTGTAGATGTTTGTGATGCTCATTTAGAATGGATATATCCAGAAACGCAAAAGTAAATGTGGACTATATCTTTGAAGGCCATATAAACTTCATTTATAAGTCTTTGCCTTTACATTTGAATATTTCATCTATTATAGGTGCCAGTAGTTTTAGACTACTTTCTACCGTGGCCCAGAAATTTAAATCCAATAAATTTTATTTTATTTCATCTGAATAGCTAATCTTATCTTATCTTATATCTTTATATGAGCAATTCTTGCATAAAATTTAGTATATAGGGGGTTTCGGGGGCGATAAATCGATCTAGCTAGGAATCATTTTTAGATAATGTCATTTTATTCGTGTTTTATCGATAATCAACTTAAACATAAACCTAATTTTTTTCTATCGGTAAGATCGAAAAATGTTATTCATATTTCATCATTTTATTAATAATTCGTACTTAAACATATTTCCAAAAAACACAATTAAAAAAAATCATCAGTCATCCAGATTTTGTTAGTCATAATGGACTTTTTTTAAACTTTTCTAACACAGTGCAGTAACTGCCCCAGCGGGTTTTCCCTGCCAATTTCAATGTTTCATCTGAGCCTTTTCCTTTTACAATCTGAGCTAATAAAATTCTCATACTTTGGTTTCTTTTAATTGCTTTATTGTATCTTTAGCAATTGATATATACACTTTAATAGGTGTGAGTTTTAAGCAATCTTTGCATAGCAAATTCAATGTATGTGCTACACATCTCAGCGGTATTAGCTTTATCAAATAGTAATAGTACTTAAAAAGGGTATTCCCTAATCACCCTTAACTTAGGATAGGCTCCAAGCCCCTCGGTGGGGACATACAGTGAGCTGATGGTGCAATAGTACTTAAATAGTACATACTATTCGATATATACATTACCTAGATGTTACATATCCTAATAAGAAAAAACCCGAATATTATCCCAGTTAGGAATTTTTCCTGGACTTTTTCCCTATTCTTTCCCACATTAGGGTTTTTTCCAGGTAAAATTCCATCTCTAGTTAGGTTAAAGTACAGTCATGTGGGTTTTCCATAGGGACATAGTGATGTCATAGGGTAGTTTGTGTTTTTTAAATTTACAAGTAGCGTTCTGTTTGTTTAAAAAGATTAGGAAATAATGTTAAACAACATTTATTACATTTTATAATAATTATGCTGATCAATATAAAAATCATTATTGCAATGGTAACAATAAGTAAACAATGACCGCTGGAAGAACATAACATTTGTTGCACTAATATGCAATTGCATTGCTTATTGGTTTGTTGTGTTTGTTCATTTTTATGTTGCACACAATCGCACACAGTTGTTCAGAGTTCTCTAAGATTTCTACACTAAAGAACATCCTATGTGTCCAATTTATAACAATTTATAGCATTTAGGAGTTGTTGCTGTTGTTTATACATGTACAAACAATATTTATACATTACAAATGTATGTATAGGTCTGGTTTATTCTATATATATAAGCTGGGGTTTTTACGACCTTGTTGATATTAAAAAGTAACTTTGTAAATTAAATTTCCAAAGACATGTGATCTTTATCTTTAAAACTGGTTATGACAATAACACTATTGTAAATGTCAACAATGTAATAGTTTTATTACAATACTAGCTGTCACACGCGACTTCATCCGCGCGGAAATTAAAAATAAAATTAATAAGTAGCCTATGTGTTCTTTCAGACTATGTTTTAGAACATTGCCAAATTTCAGCGAGATCCATTGAGCTGTTGTGGAAATACTTACAAACAAACATCCATCTATCCAAAAATTCGCATTTATAATATTAGGAAGATATACTAGCTTTTGCGCGCGGCTCACTTTGATACATTTTGTCGATTCTACTAGCAAAAGCTATAATCCAATTTTACATTGTCTCGCCCCTCTGGTAATCAATCAAATGTTTACATGTTTGTCTTTCTCTCTGCCTAGCTTGCGTCTCACAAGTTGGTGGGGTCACACTATCCCAATCAGCCTGAGACGTGGCTCTCACTCATGTCTTTTACCACTACATTCCATCTCATTTTGGGTCTGCCTCTGGATCTGCTACCAATCTTTACATTGTTTACAATAATTTAATTAAACAAAAAATTTGATAGTTAATAGAGTAATAAAACTTGCTTACAAATGACTCTTATTAGTTAAAAACATAGTTAACCATGGTATATAAAAGCAATTTATCGGCATGATGTCATAAAGCTTATGGGGCGCGGCGCTTGATAAACTCTATTGAATGAATTTGTATAGAATTATATGTATGTTTTACGGACTATATGACGCATACAAGGATAAACTAAGTCTAGAATATTACGATAAAGCTGTTAGATTATCGATTGAGGTAAATCTTAATAAAATGAGTAAGTTGGGAACTTTTTAGGGTTCCGTAACTCGAAAGGTCCCATTACTTAGGGTCCTTAAAGAAGCGAGCAACGCATCTGCGGTTCCTCTGGTGTTGCTGATGTCCATGGGCGTCGTTGAACACCTAGGTGTTCCCACTGCACCTTTGCCCCCTTCTGTTATAAAAAAAAGAACAAAACAAGACCCTCATAGGATCATTTTCTTGTCCGTCTGTCTGTCAAGTCTGTTTTATTCATAGTCTCTGCCTGCCCTGAGTTACTTACGGCCTTTATATATTTAATTATTTAGTCTCAAAGAAAAATTCAATGGATATGTTATTTTTATATGTGTTACTGCTTACGCCTAATTTATTGAAGGGACATAAGATTGATTAGAACTTCGGTATTAATATAATTTTGCACTTCTGTCTGTCTGCGTATGAAAATGGTATAAACTTGAAAGGTGTTTTATTATTTAAGCTATTTGTACCCCGGAGTTGTGCTTGTCAGTTGCCTTTACATAGGCACCATAGATTTAATCATAGTTTAGTCAAAATTAAACAAGAAATGGCAGTAAAATGAAAAAAGCAATCTGTATTAAGTTAAAAACTTAGTTCTTACAAAGAGAATGGGAGTGTTATTTTTTTATACATTTATTTATGTTTAGCCAAGCTACAAAACATCCCCTATATGTATTGTATTTTGATCTTCAGATCCCACTCTTCGCGTCACTCATCTTGCCAACAGTGCCGGAGACGCTCAAGAGTAAAGCGATGTTCCATCGGCGTGCAATGCCGCCGGGAGAGATCAGCACCAGTGTGGGGGCCTAGGGCACCCTGTGTGGATATCAAGGGACTTAAATATCAAAGGTTAACATTCTTTATCATTTCCAGTCCAAATTATAAGTATTCAAAAATTTCTCCATCCTGTCTATGTCAAATTTCCGTGCAGCCGTTTTAGAGATATCTTTAAACAAAAATCCATCCATCTAAACATTCACATTTATAATATTAGTAAAATGGTAAGAAGAGGCTTTATTGAAAGTCTAGCTGTCTCTAGTGACTCTGTCTGTAGCCTATGTGGTCTCCCAGGCTATGTTCTACATCTATGCCAAATTTCAGCAAGATCTGTTTAGCTCTTCTAGAGATACCTTCAAAAACAATACATCCAATCTTGGTCCTGTATGTTGCAGGTTAATGCGTGTGGAAACTCATCCGAACGGTGGAGCAAGTGTCGTCTACTTGTACCAACATGATATTGACATGCTAAGCGAGAATCAACAAGAGTCACTAGCAAAGGAGTTCCTTAAGGTAAGAAATATAACTATTATGTACATATAATACTCATCATCAGCTCACTATATGTCCCCATCGAGGGGCTCGGAGCCTACTCTAAGTTAAGGGTGATTAGGCTATAGTCAACCACGCTGGCCAAGTGCGGGTTGGTTGACTTCACACATATCTTTGAATTTCTTCTCAGATATGTGCAGGTTGTATCACGATGTTTTCCTACACAGTAAGAACGTCGGATAAATGTACATATGTAAATCGGAAATGGAAAACACATTGGTACATGGCGGTATTCGAACCCAGGACCTGCAGATTGCAAGTCAAGTGCTTGACCACTGAGCCACCGACGCTCATCGCTCATATAATACTATGACTATAAAATTTCTTTTTTCTTTAAGTAAATTTGATATTATAAGGTGGAGAGATGATGAAGATGGATGTGTGGTGGGATAAAGTTAACAATGTGTATATTAGAGGAAGTTTGAAAGTAGATTGAGAAATTAAGGAACAAACGTGTGGTTTGGACATTACGCAGGATAATGACTATATAAACAAAGAAGTAATGAGATTAAACGTGGATGGCTACATAATTAGAGAAAGATTTAAGAAGAATGTATGGATTGTGTTAAAGAGGATTCATAACGGCTGATAGATGTATAGAAATAAATTTTCATCAATTTAATTTAGTAGTATAATATTCTGTTTCTTATTATTAGTATGGTGCTTTAAGGCTAATTTTAGTCTTCTTATCTTTTAACAAAGAATGGATGAGAAAAGAAAGTTAATTCTAATAACGGGGGATTCACTATCCATATAAGAAGGGAGAAAGGGTTAGTAACCCCTAGAGTTTTGCCTTAATATATAAATAATCAAAGCTCTTTTCAACCCTTACAGCTGGTATTCTCAGAGGACAGTGGAGGTTGGGCACAGTTTGTATGTGGTGTGGTGCGGGGTGCAGCTGGCCGGCTGCCCTGTCTGCTGCAGTACCTTGCCGAGAGACATCCCTCACTCACAGTTAAAGCGGGTGTACTGGCTCGAGCTTCTGATATTGAGACCACAACAATAAGCAGATATTATCAGCAGGTTAGTGATTGTTGATTGTGAAGTTATTACACAGTTATCCTACGGAAATTGTATACATTTCCGGGCTTGCCAATGTTCCAGACTATGTTCAGTTGTGGAAAATTTAATGTAGAGCCGTTCTGGAGAAACATTCCTACAAACATCCATCCATCTATACACCATTAATAGTATTATAGCTGTAGCGTGCGTTTCCTCTACGCGGTATTAAAAGAAAATTTAATTAGTAGCCTATGTGTTCTGGAAATACTTTCAAATATCCATTCATCCAAACATTCATATTTGTTTATAATATTAATAAATTGCAGTAAAGCGGCTGATAGTCAAGTATTCATTAGATAATTAACAATTTGTTTTGTGTTGTAGGTTCAACAGACGTACGCGGCTGGCACATTCAGATGCGGGCCGCTGCACCAGATCTCCCTGGTGGGCACAGTACACGAAGAAGTCGGCGGATACTTCCCCGACATGCTGGCCATGCTTGCAGAGTGTCCATTCCTCAAACTGGTCAGTAATCACAGTAGATAGATAGTGGAGATGAAATAGATTGAAAATTTTGTAATATTTTTTTCTTGTAATATTTAGACAATGCCTTGGGGACCTATGGCAGCGGTGGAGATGGAGCCCCAGGAGTCTAATGATGGCCCAATCCTGTGGATCAGGCCTGGAGAGCAACTTGTGCCAACAGCAGAGCTCGGCAAGAGCCCTATCAAAAAGAGACGGTACGAACAAGCTAATTATAATTATTTAGCCTATAATCCTTCAAAACTTTATAAAATTCTCGTGTCTATATTGTTAGTTACCATACTTCTCCAAAACTTGCTTGAATTTTATAAAATTTTATATGCATATCCAGTCGGTTCGAGAATCGACTACTATTTTTAGGGTTCTGTACCTCAAAAGAAAAAAACGGATCACTTATTGGATTTTTTGTCCGTCCGTCTGTCTGTCAAGACTTTGTTTTTATGGTGCGCGGACGGAGTTGCGGGCGATAGCTAGTATAAATATATATTTGTAGTATAATTTGACAGGACTGGTATCAACGAGCTACGTAACTTACAATATTTGCCGCGCTGGAGCGAGGCGCGAGAGTTTCTGTTTGAAGACAGGACGCGAGCGCACGCGGATCATGTCGGACATGGACTGGATAGAATCACTACTGCTGCTGTCGGTGTGTATACGTTTTTTCAGTCCTTTTTAAACCTTAGTAAACATATCTTAGTATATTTGTGGCCATTTTTCTAAAGTTAACTACAATACAATATTTGTTGGTAATGTTTAAATAACAGGTCAAAGAGCGGACAATTTACAAAAAAAAAAATTTTTTTCAGTGAAAAATTCTTTTTTTTTTTGTAAATCTCGACAAGCACTGATATCAATCTATTATTGAATGATGTGAGGCTACTATCAAAACATTGTGTAATTTACACCGTCTATCAATCTGAGATTTGGTCTTCCATATTCAGAGTTGCTAGTATTTTGGTACCCTGACTTATCCTATTCCACATGGCCATCTTAATCTGGTTCATGTGAAAAGCCATATTTAATTGTATCCATCTATTTTTATTACCATCTTAGTAATATTATAAATGCGAAGTTCTGGATGGATGGATGATTGAAAGTATCACCGGAAAGGATGAACGGATCTTAATGAAACATTGGAATAGATGTAGAACATCTGGAAGAACACAGACTACAAATTAGTTTTTAATTCCTTTAAAATGATTTATGAGCAACAGCTGATTAACATATAAAATATATTTGCAGGTGTTTTGAAAGCGATCCATTGTGGTGACGAGGGTGACCGAGGTCGCATCACGAAGGATGTGGTGGCTTTCCATGCAGCAGACTTCAACAAGCTGGTGCAGCTGCTGCAGCTGGATCTATACGAGCCTCCTATATCACAATGCGTCACTTGGTGAGTTGAAAAACTATTATGGCTTATAAAATAAGCAAAAGAAAGAATTTTATAATTTGTTACTTTTGCTTATTTTATAAGCCATTTTTACCTTGTTAACCATAACAGAGGGGTAGGCAGAGACCATGGACCTCCATATATCATGGCAAACACCTCTTTCGCACCTACTATACTTTGTAAGGTGAAGGAAAACATTGTGATGCAACCTGCACATATCTGAGAAGAAATTCAAAGATATGTGTGAAGTCAACCCGCACTTGACCAGCGTGGTTGACTATGTCCTAATCACCCTTAACTTAGGGTAGGCTCTGAGTCCATCGGTGGGGACGTATAGTGAGCTGATGATGATATTTTTGTAAACCTATACAATATTATATATATATATACAAACATTAAATTACATATTTGGTAGGCATGATATTTTATTTGCATCATGTAGTCAGACCGGGATAAGCAAGAATCAAAGGTTTCTCTCTAACCCGAGTTTCTTATTTATGGAGGTTGTTTGTTAGAACCGGATAATAACTCTGTTATAGAAGTTATATATATATATGTATATAATTTATATATATATATAAATTAATTGTTGTTCGTTAGTCTCGCTAAAATTGGAGAACCGGTGAACAGATCTTATCTTGGTATTGAAATGTTCGTGAAGGTCTAGGGAAGGTTTAAAACTACAAATTATTATTTTTTCATTGTACGCTAACGGAGTCGCGTGCGACAGCTAGTTTAGTTATATAATGAATGTCGTCTGTATGTGCAGGCTGGAGGAGGCGAAGTTGAACCAGTTACGTCGCGAGGGCGTGCGCTACTCGCGTCTGCCGCTCTGCTCCGACGACGTGTACTTCTTGCCGCGCAACATCATACACCAGTTCCGTACTGTCTCCGCTGTCACATCAGTCGGTGAGATAAACATGTTTACTGAAAAAACAACTAATTCAGGCCCCAGTCCCGTTATCTTACTAACTTAAACAATATTATAAATGCGAAAGTTGGATGGATAAGTATTTGAAGGTATCTCTGGAAAGGCTCACTGGATTTTGATGAAATTTAGCACACATGTAGAATTTAGCCTGGAAGAACACATCTATAATAGTTATTAAGTTTTTTTTTAATTCCACACGAACGGAGTCGCGGGCGACAGCTTGTATGCTACTAAGGAAAGGAAAATTATCTTTTCTTGGAAATATATCGGCTGCCTGAAATTTCAGTCTGGCCAGACCCGCTACAGAGTTTTGAACTAAACATAATTATTAAGTTTACCTATATTAATATTAATGAGAAATCTACACTAAGTGTTCCCTAATCAAAGACTATAATGGTAGTAATTATTTTCAGCGTGGCATTTACGGTTGAAACAGTACTATCCGTCGTCAGAAGCGTCTTCTCCGGCTGAGGAGCGACCAGCAGCAGATCCCGTGCCTCAAATCAATACTGGTAATGTTCCTTCGAATAAACACTTATATTTTCTCGACAAAAATATCTTACGTTTAATTAAAAACGCATGCTTGTACACCTCTTTAAAGTAATTTCGCGAAGTCTTACTAATATTATAAATACGAATGTTTACATGGATGGATATTTCTAGAACAGTTGAACGGATCTCGATGAATTTTGGCATACATATAGAACATAGTCTGGAAAAACAGATAGGCTTCTTATTATGTTTTTTTTTTAATTCCGCGCGGACGAAGTTGCGAACGACAGCTTGAGATGTAATATTTTACACAGTTAAAAGTTGACATGGAGAAAAAGATTCAAAAAGTTATTTAGAATTAAAAAAAAATATTGATTCTTGTCGAATTTCGACCAACAGACCACTAATTGTAATTTCCTTGTGTGAAATAGACGTTAAATTCATTTTTTTTACTTTACAGAACCTAAAAAGTCATCAACAACGAAGCACAAAAGCGGTGTTATAGAAATGCGAGCATTAAGTGCTAAATACAAAGATAAACCAACTTTAAAACTGACTGATAGAAAAAGTACAGAAGTACAAAGTAATAAACATGTCGAAGATAAGAAGGAAAAGAAGAGTGAGTCAAGACACGAGAGATCTGACAGAACAGAACAGAAGACATCGCATAGACATAGAGACACTGATAAACATAGATCAGAAAAATCTTCAGATAAATCAGAAAAAATTGAAATTAAAACTGAAAAAGATATCAAAGCAGCTGAAAAATCTGAAACTAAAACAAACAAATCTGATATCAAGACAGAGAAAGTCGAAGTTTTAGACAAAACTTCGAAACAGATCGAGAAATTAGATGTAACATTACCAGATAAGGTAGTGGTTAAATTGGAAAATAGATTAAATGATAAAGTGGACAGTAAATGTACAGATATTATAATAAATAAAACAGAAAAGTCAATCGAAAAGGACACAACAATTGATAAGTCTGAGAATAAAGATAAATTAAATGTCAAATTAGACAAAACCGAGAATAAATTGTCCGAGAAATGTGACAAAAAAACTCAACAAGAAACAGAAAAGACAGAAAAGATAGATAAAAGTGATAAAACAACAGAAAAGGAAAGTAGGTTATCAGATAAATCAGACAGCAAATTGTCCGAAAAGATGGATAGAACATCAGATAAACCTGAGAAAACTGAAAGTAGATCATCAGAAAAATATGACAAGTCAGACAGCAGACCATCTGAAAAATCCGAGAAGGCAGATAGATCGTCAGAAAAATCTGATAAGATGGAAAGTAGATCATCAGATAAATCAGAAAAATCTGAAAGTAGGTCATCAGAAAGCAGATCCTCAGACAAAGAAGAAAGTAAACCAGACAAAACAGATAGAACTGAAAAACTTGACACAAAAGATAAATCTGACAAAGAAAGCCGGTCGAGCAAGTCGGAACACAGAAGACATTCATCATCAAGATCTCACCGATCACATCGAGATCACAAAGACCGGTCACATAAAGAACACAAGAAAGACCACAGGAGTGAAGACAGGAAATGTTCGGACAGGCATCGAGATAGAGACAGTAAAGTTGAAGCTAAGCTTCTAAGTGCAAAGCTGCAAGAGATTGTGCATCGGCCACCCGATTAGTGCTAAGTGTAGTGCTTAAGTGCAGGATAACTTAGTGCAGTGCAACTTAGTGTTATGTACGAGATTGCAGCTAAAAACGGACAGGGGTAAGTCAATTTATAACATCAAAGCCTTATCGGCTTCATTGTAGATTGACAGTTAAATATTGTAAAGGTATGAAAGTACAGTCAGATACAAAAAGTATACATTTACAAAGTCCCAGAAATATGTATACATCCAAATATACATCTGTCTGCCGCTGACTGTACTCTTGAAAGGACAAACCTTTTATATGTTTTCTAATATGCATAACAATGCAAAATGTAATTGAAATCAATTTTGTAAGGATTCATTTATTAATTTAATCAGTAAACTTGACATCAATTTGTACACAGAGGTCCAGAAATGTCGTGAACAATGATAAGCTATATAAATCTATACTTAAATATGATGATTTAACCAAATAGATGAATAATTTCTTGTATAATAATTTCCACAAGCTCCCAAAATAAGTAAGTTTTGATATAAGTTGGTTTAAATCATCATATTTTCAATGTAACTGAAATTTTTCATTGTACACGATATTTCGGACATCCTGTATTATGTTTGTATATTTGTTGGCAAAATTCGAACTTATACCGTCTAAAAGTCTACAATATTAATGTCCACACAGCTCGTACGTTGCCCTTAAAATTCGTACCATAGAGTAAATTCCTTGTAAATAGATAGAGTTAGGTGTCTCGTAGAGGCTACGCGAGATTGAAGGTTGTAAGCGCAGTTTTAGATTACGTCCAGAGTTAATTTAAAGAAAATAATATTATTTTGTTTATTCTCTATTATTCTAATACATATATTGGGATTAGGAAAGTTTGATTTGTCATTGTTGTCCGGCAAAAAACTTGTCATTGCTGTATAAATCTGTGAAAATGAGTGTTTGGTATTTGAAAAAAAAAAGAGCAAAATCTGTAAATATGCCAGTAAAAAACTTTACAATGTTGACGGATTTAATTTAAAAATTTTAATTTAATTTAAAAATCAGGTTAATTGGAAACTAGTTGATTACTTTTTTGTCTTAGAAATTAATATTGAAAATGTAAAATTCTTGCCGAATATTATTGGAAATTATTTCTTTATAGTATTTTTTTTTCAATTTAGCAAAATTATATGTTCGTTATAAAAACGACAAGTGATTGGTTTCTTGATCTCGTTACGTTTCTAAAACTGCGCTGTGAATGTGATTATGTAAAAGAGTTTTAACGAAACACGAAGAAAATTATAATAAATAAATTTTAAGAGGGTAAACGATAAGTAAAAAGTTCACGCATATTTCTAAAGAATTGCACGAAGATTATTAAAAAAAAAATATTCTGATAGGTTAGTCTGGAGTAGACGTGTTATTTTGTGATTTGTTTTTTTTTTCTTAATTTATTACGTCCCTTTTAAGGTAACAGTGAAGTGGAATCAAATGATAAATGTCTTAATATTAGTATTAATTTTTTTTACTACAATACCAAAATGTAAATTTTTTTTGTAGTAAAGAAAATATTGTTAATATCTGAATTTTGCTTTTTATTTTATTAATAATGACAATTTTTCCTTTCATTTAAATCATATAAAATGATAAAATCTATTTTTTTAAATAAAATTTGGCATAAATTGAATCATTTTATATAAAATTCATAGAGAAAATCTGAGAACATTCAAAATTTACTTACGAGAAAAGAGTTTTTCAAACATCTTTCAACAGAGAAAGAGAAAAAAATGAGAGAAAATTGTGATATATTTATCACATTTATGTTTACCTGGTTAATTTATTGTTTCAAGTTTTATATAATTCTTTTTGAAAATAATTAAATAGATTTTAAATAGATTGGACATTGTTTTATTCATAACCTATTTAAAATACACAAATTAATAAAAATCAAAGAGTATAATAAGTATACTACAGAAAGAGGGACACTCGCTCGAAGTCGTGGATCAACGGCGATTGTGGCGCTCCATGCGTATAATGGGTGAACTAATATTTTTTTTTGGTACCTATATACGCATATTTAGCTCACTATAATAATAACTGATAAGTGGGAATCTAATTAATGAAGTTAAAATTGACATTAAATCAATGTTCAAAAATAATATACCCACTTATGTAGTTATTAATATAGTGAGCCGATATCAAGTAGCCTTCTATGAAATACCTCTATTAAAATGATCCTATTATTGGGGAAATAAAAACAAAATATTGTTATATTTTTAATAGATTTTTTATTATATTTCTACATAACTTAATATTAAATTTCTGCAAGTACATATACATCAATGACTTTCAAGATATCAGCTCAATATTGTAATTTTTAATGTATTATATATTTTTGAAAATTACATTTACGGTAATAAATAGTATAGCGCGGTCACAAAAGAATGCATACCCTGTAATTAAAACCAAACCCTAAAATATTTTCAGTCACATGCAAGCTGGCAACTGGCATTTGTAGTTATTTGCGAGTTTAAACACTCTGAACATATTCTCTTACAACACAGGCAAGCAAATTTTTCTTTACAATAAAAAATTACAAATAAAAAAAATATTTTTTTACATATACACACATGGACCCACCTACTAATTTCAGACACATCAGTTTATGGCTCTATAATTCCAGTGATTGGCACACATTTTCTAAACATCACTGACCGTCTCAGGAAGGGGGAAACCATGTGTATAAGCACCTACAACAAACAGAATGTGATTTCCTGTCAAGTATAGGAACTGATATGTAAAATGTATTAGAAGTAGGGCACCATTCAATATGATTACCGGAAAGTATAAATCACTGTGGTGCTAAAAACTACACCAAAATACGAAAATATTTAAATGTTTAAATGAGTCTGACGTATGGGAATAACAGGAAAAATTTTATTGAATTGTAACTTACCATAATCAGTCCATCTAAAACACAGTTGCGTACATCGTCATTTTTCACGAAAACACATTTTAATTAAAAACAAACGAATGAAACAACATTTAACTAAGAATACAAGAACAGAAATAGAAATACGAAAAAACGTAGCGATTTGATGACACATGAATGTCTCGATGACACAAATGATGTTTCTTCTTAGCCATGAGATGAAATGATGTTTACCAAGATTTAAAAGGTGGCGCCACTTTCCATACAAATCGTCCTTCTTCTAAGTTTCCACGCCCTGATAAAAATGATCTCTCTTTTTATATACACACTGGCTGTCGCACGCGACTCCGTCCGCACAGAACAAAAAACTTACCTTTCTATGCTGAATTCCAGCGAGATCTATGCAGCCGTTCAGGAGATAGTTTCAAACAAACATCCATTCATCCAAACATTCATTTATATTAATAAGAAGTAATATTAAAAAAAATACCATGGGAAATGGCTTAATGAAATAACTTGAGTTAAAATAAAACAAATTAATTTAAAATTTCGAATCACTTTATTTAATATATCGCTAATTGAACAATGATAGTACAAAAATGAGAAAAAACGACACTAAATCAGTTTCAATTAAGTACAAACATAAAAATCAAATGTTCAGTCAATCTGTATATGAAATTACCATCGATGCAGATTTATTGTCAAAGAATAAAAATAAAATGAGCCAAATCTTGCAAATATCTATATGTCAAATATTTAAATGTGTAAATAAATTTATAATATAAGCAATAGTAGAGTAGCTAAAGCGAGGATCATTGAGTTTACTTGAGCATGGCTGTTAAAAAAAGGGGGAATTGTATCCAATTAACCTACCACAAATGAACTTTTTGGGTATCCGATTAGGATACTAGGTATTTATGGAAGGAGTAGTCGATTGGGTAGAAGGTTCCTTTATGTTTAACTGCTCGAGTAAATCCAAAAATCCCCTCTTCGTCTCCCCTACATCAATAGCCCTATATTGATGGCACTTATATAGTATATGAAAATAAATATGTTAAAATTTCTAAAACTAAAAGATATATTTTAATATGAAGAATCATCAAAACAGAAATTATACGTAACAAGTATAATTAAGATTGAGATTTTAAGAGATTCGATACAAGAGAGATAATGACATCGTTTTAGTATAAAATCTTCCAATAAAAAAAATCTTATTTTAAATTAATAACCTATAAACTAATTTTTTAGGTTAATTGGCGCGAAATTCCGTCCGCCATGTTTGATTAAATATTTAGAAAACGTTTGAAAATTTAATAATTGCACATTTTAAGGCACTCGTTACAAAATGCAAATCAGCATCAGTCATATTTAAATTACAATAAATACCTTTTTAAAAAAAATGTAACTTATAAATATAGCGGGTAGTCACAAAAAATAATTTTTTATCGTATTTTTATATAAATCAGCTTACTATAGCATTTTAATATGTATTAATTAAACTTAAAATCAATAAAATATTTATTTTTGACAATTTTGCGACTACCCGCATATTGAGAGGGCAAGCGTCGTTGACAAGATTATAAAACACTTTGGTAAATGAAGTTGGCGCAGCGCTGGGGGACCTCACTGAAACACAAAATTTATATTAAAAGAAAAAAAAATATTCTCTTTGAAGAAACAGAGACTACAAATGTAACAGCAGTGAAATTGTACGGTTAAAATGATTTAAGTTATCTCACCACAAAACGGTTGACTTTGGGAGTCGTTGTCTTGGTGACGACACTTTGCTGCACTTTCATCTTCTCAAACTTCTCGCGCAAACTGAAACAGAGCAATTCTATATAATTTAATCTTTTTATTGGCTCAGTTAGCTGCGCAGTTCTCGCCACAACCTGAGCAGCGACTCGTGCTTAGCAAAAAAGATATATGAAAAAATGCTATAATTTTCTCGTATTGCGAATTAACCACTGCAGCATGAGACATAGATTTTGGATCCTTGCGGAACCCGTTTTAGACATTAGGGGTTCGTGTAACAACCGCTTTATGGCGGTCTTAGTGAGATTTACAAAATTTGGAGGTCCATATGATAGTTTTGGGGGTTTGTTTATATTTAACTGACCTCCTTGCAGTTTCTAGTTGCGATTCGCCGTCTTCTTCGTTATGTTCGCGCTCTATGAACACTGTGGAGGGAGAGCGAGTTGGCTCAGACTCCGACCATTTCTCGAAGCGTTCGCGGAAACTCTTCGTACGCGCTAACTGTTGAGCCTAAAAATTATATATAATTAATATAAAGTCCTGAAGGAACTTCAACAAAGAATAATCTATTTAAAATATAACTTAACTTTCAATACAACTTTAAAATCTCAAACATTCTTGATACTTGTTACCTGTTTCAATGCTTCGTCCCTCTCCCGCGCCTGCAGGTACTCCCGCATGCGCTCCTCCTCGCTGTCCTCCTCCTCCTCGCTGCTGCATTCTGAGGAATCTCCCTGATGACCCTCCTCCCCGGGGGGAGGGGGAGTGAACCGCTTCAGTGGTTTAGGACCTGGAGGATAACAAGTATATATAGGAAGATTAGTGCATTTAGAAGTTGCATGAATATTTTGTTGGGAAAATCCGTCTCGAAGGACCAAAATATAGATTTACGAATATATTACATTTAATATATGTTAATTATTTTTTATAAAATTGTCTAGACATGTTTTTTGTAAGAGTAATTTCACCATTTGCATTTAGATCTTAGTTATTTTACTAATATTATAAAGTTGGATGTTTGTTTGAAGGTATCTCCAGAACGGCTGAAAAGATCTCGATGAAATTTGGCATGCATATAGAACATAGTCTGGAAGAACACGTACCAATTATGTTTCTTTTTAATTCCGTAATCTTACATTAAGATGATGGTAAGAAGTAGATGGTGTTACCTTGATGATCCTCATGCCTGTGCTGCTGCTCCTCCATCTGACGGAAGACGTTGATCATGCGAGAGGCGGTGTGCCTGTCAGCAGCGAGCGCCGCGTCTCCAGCACCACCAGCACCAGCTCGCACCACGCTCGGTTCCTGGTACACCTCGGGGGAGGGAGACTTGCAACGCTGGAACATTCACAAATTATATTAAAAATAAATATCAAACAGTATAGTACGCGCTAATGTCAGGATCTACTGGTCCGATTTGAAAAATTACTTTTTTGTTGGATATTCCATTTACAGAGGAAGGCTTTAGGCTATATAACATTACGCTGCAACCAATAGTTTTTTAATTTCGCGCGGACAGAGTCGCGGGCGAGAGCTAGTCACAAATTTGGTACTGCAGATTGAGGTGATGAACATCTCTGTGATCCAGCTGCTCGTTTGCCTCCTTCTCTTATAAGAAAAAATATACGTTATACCTTGTTATTTCTAAACAATCTTTATATTACAAAATTTGAAATTAAAATATATATTTCATCGCAAACTACTTTTTATAAGAACTATTGAATTGTTTAAAACATGACAATTTCTTAATTATAATAAATATATAGAAAATCAATGAAATGTGCAATAAAATGTTAGCTTTCATAATCTTACTAATATTATAAATGTTTGGATGGATGGATGTTTTCTACAAGGTATCGTCAGATCAGATACATGGATCTAGCTGAAATTCATCATAGATGTAGAACATAGTCTGGAAGGACACGCAGGCTACTAAGTTTTTTTTTAATTCTTCACAGATGGAGTCGCAGTCGACAGCTAGTATATAGCTTGAGCTAAAGTGATTCTATAAGGGTTCCGTTTTTTTTCCTATGAGGTACGGAACCCTAAAAATAGAGAAATATAAGGTAGATTTAGTATAAAAATAGTAGATTGGCTAAATATTAACCTGTGTATGTCTGGGCGGAGTGATGCGGAACTCCTTGCGCTCGGTCTCCGGTCTGTAAGTCTCGAAGAAACGGAACCGGTCCGAGATGTCCGCGGTCTCGATCTTCACATCTTCAACTCGGTCCGCAGCACGTACCACGTCTTTTGGTACGAACGGCTGGAATATTCATTCATCAATTATAATACTATACAAAATTATAATTGGAAATCTTACTAATATTATACATGTATGTATGGATGGATGTTAGAAGGTATCTCCAGAACGGCTGCACTTTTTCATAAAGTTTTTTGTTAATTCCGCACGGAGGAAGTCGCAGGCGACGGCTAGTAATATAATAAATGCGAATGTTTGGATGGATGGATGTTTGAAGGTCTCTAGAACGGTTCAACAGATCTTGATGAAATTTGTCATACATATAGAACATAGTCTGGAAGAACACATAGACTACTAATTAAGTTTTTATTTCCGTGCGGACAGAGTCACGGGCGACAATTAGTATTATTTAGTTATAAAGTTAACTTACAATCTCCTTTCTCTTGGGTGCATCCTGTGCTGGAGGGGAGACAGGTAAATTCTTGGCATTTGCGTCCAGCTCCAGGAAGATGGATCTAGATTTCTTTGCTATACCTGAAATAAAAACATAGTAATTTTTATCCAATAGCCAAAGAGTAAGGTTTTTGATATAAGTTTTTATGTAACAGTCTAGAACTTAAATCATTGAAGCTATTTTGACAAATGTGGTGTCATTAAATTCGTCTTCTTCTCCAGAGTGTCATAATGTATATTATATTGCCACAAAACACATATAGTAGGCGTGAGAGATGAAATAAAAAAAAATAAAGATTACGAGTTTTAATCTCATTCGATTTAATTTTTTTATTGATAAATATTTTTATATATTTCCGAGTAAATACTAAAATAAGAAAGAGTTACATATGGCATTCATTTATATAATTTTAGTAAAACAACTTTATTTTAAAGTGATGTCAATAGATGGCGCTAATTAAGTTTTTTTTAATTTCTCTTAAATTAAGTTAAATTTATTGACTTAATTGCCTCTCAGAGTACTAACCTTCATTAAACAACGCTTTATCATCAATATCCCTGTTTTTGGGAGGTTGATTTTCATCATTGAAAGCGCCATTTTCAAAGCGCTGTTTGATCTGACGCGCTTTCTCCGCGTCCAGCTCCAGCTCGCGGCAGATCTTCTCTGCTGATGTCTGACCTTATATATACATACAAAAAACATTAAAACTAGTAAAAAAATCTAGTAAATACTAGAAATTAGGTCATTATGACACCGAATAAGAGAAACAAATTTTTTATAAGTACCTACACGATTTTTAGGAACAAAACTTAGCTTAAGTCCTCAATCCAGTACCAAAATTTATTTTCATTAATTAAATAGGAAATAAGGCATAAATTTATAAAACAAAAATCTTACTTAATATTATAAATGCGAATGTATGGATGGATGTTTCTTAGAAGGCATTTCCAGAACAGCTGAATGTATTTTCATGAAATTTGACATATAGAACATAGTCTGGAAGAACACAGGCTACTTATAAAGTTATGTGTTGAGGACGGTGCAGACGGAGTCGCAGTCTACAACTAGTATATATAACTCACTCTGTTCACTCTGCAGGACTGATTGTTCGTACATCTCCTTGATCTTAGCCTGCTTGCCCTGGAAATATACAGAATAATTATAAATTTATATTCTTTTAAAAAATAACTGTACTTTCTCAATATGTTAGATATTTTGACAACCAATGTAAATATCTCTGACATGTGTCAAAATTTTTGACATAAAACTAAGTCAATCAAGATTTAAAAAAAAATATATAGTTTCTATTTTACGGCGAAAAGACAATTATAAAATATACAATTTTTTTTTCTCCTTCTGTCTTTAACTATACCCTAATTACTCTGTAACCACTTCTCCTTCTTTTTTTACATGTTTCGTATTTTCCCCTTCTCTCTCTCTCCACACATCTATATGTTTCTCATTCACTCTACCTATTTCACTCTATCATTTTTTCTACATGTGTGTTTTTCTCACTCTCTTCCTTTTTCTCTCCTCTCTCTCTCTTTCTCTCAACATGTTTCTCATTTTCTCGCTTCACGCGTTTATTACTTTCTAACCATTTTTCTCTCTACTTGTTTCTCATTGACTTGCGCTCTACCGGTTATACTTTCTCTACATGTCTCTCTCTCTCTCTTACTATCTACCTTTTAACACTATACCAATTTATCCTTGTTTATCATTCTCTCTCTCCACACGTGTGTTCTACCCATTCCTCTCTCTACATGTCTGTCTGCGTGTCTGTGTGTTGGCGTGCACTGACCATGAAGAGCCTGGTGCGGATGTTCTGTATCTCCTGCTTGCGCTCGCGATGTCTGTCAGCGGCTGCGTGCTGCCCGGACTCGAACCTGCCCACTATCTCGCTCATGTTGCAGAACGACACCGGCTGCTCGCGACTGCTCGTCTGTTTGTATGACTTCTTTAGTACTGAATCTTCGTCTGGAAAAGATAAACATACATGTGGATGTTCCAAGATATTTTTTATATAGAAATGGCGAAGCGACTGTCTGCAGGCAAATGGAAGAGACATAGAAAGGGAGCATTTCCCTTCCTATGCGTCCCCTCCATCATATATCTATCTCATCTTTTCTTTATAAATAAAGGTTAGGTTAAAGAGTTAATTATATGAGTTCCTATCACATTTTTAATAAAAGAATGTATTATTTTGTAAAAATTGCTGAAAAAAAAATATGAATTAAACAATATGACTTTAGTTACATTGAAATTTGGGTTAGATTATAAAATGAAGACATACCATCGTCGTCTTCCTGTTCACTAGAGCTGTGTTCAACTTCAACACCGTTCAAATACTCATCAGATATGCCGATATCCATGCCTTTTGCTTTGAACCTGAATGAAATAGATATTTCAAACATGTATTTTTAACCCTTTGAACGCCGGTGAAGCATATATGAACGTTATATGTCTACATAAATATGTGAAGACTATAAGACTTTCGGAATAAGTATTGTTATTTATAGAAGTCATTTCGCAAAGCACATAATAATGTTTTCAACAGCCATGATTTGACAAAAATCCACACGTTAGAGTCATGGTACTTTTTTTATAACAGAAGGGGGCAAACGAGTAACGAGAACACCGAGGTGTTTAACGATGTCCATGGACATCAGCAATACCAGAGGAACAGATGCGTTGCCATAGAGATGGTGATACGTTCGCTTCTTGAAGGACCCTTAATCGTATAAGTTGACGCGTGTTTAAACTAAAATTTATTTGAAATATTGTTTTATAATAAAGCCTGTAATTTCTCGTAATATCTATTTGGATATTGGATTGAAGTTACTACCTTAGTAACGCTATCAACCTTAACAATTAGCATCAAAATGTTGAAAATCAAATAGACAAAAAACACCACGGTTTATAGCCTGTCCAGTAAATGAAAAAACAGACTAACCTTTTTAAAAATATATCACAAAGATTATTTGAAACACTTTAAATTTTCACACAATAAAACACACACACTTTTAGAATTGCTAATTTTTTTAACTATCACGTTATTTTCTTTTTTAAAAACACTTAAGAACGGTTTTTTAAATTTTACTAAACTGTTCCGTTCAAATGCGTGTTCATCGAATGTTTTTTTGTGATGAATGTGGTTTGTTGTACAGATGTTATTGAAATTACAAAAATAGAATCCAAAGCAACCGACGCCGATGACGCAAGCTATAGTGTAACACGATTTGTATATTTTAATACTTGAAATATATCGAGGTTATTAATTTGTTTATGATTAAAATAACTTGCTTGGTATTTCTTAGATGTTTTTTTTATATCATAAGGTGGCAAACGAGCGAGCGGCCACCTGAAATCGCTGAAATAGCGAAGTGACCGTTGCCCATAGACATACGCAATTGCATATGCGTTGCCTACCTTTAATCAACGGAGGAGAGGATGCACAGAAAGAAAATATTTTCCCTTTCCATGCATCCTCTCATCCTCAAGAAAAATGGTGGGAAGGTAAAGAGGACTATAATTAGGTCTCCGGGACGCACACTCATCAGACTGTACGCGGAGTTTCTTCCGCTTTACGCCTGTCTTCTGTGTGGTCGTGGTATTTCACCGGGCGAGCCGGGACAGTTCCTGCGAAGATGTTAAAGCGGGCTCTACCACTGTTATAGATGTATAAAAAAATAGAAATAAAAGAAAATAAATAGTATCTTAGCTCTAGTAATTATAAAGTTATGTCGAATTAAAATGTATGAATTATTTATTCCCATTTTCTTTTTTATTACGTAAAAGATATTAAATAAAATATTATCAAGGATCAAGAATATTAATTTGGACTATATCCTGGAAGATTATGGAGTCGAAGTGCAATTAAATTTGAACTTTAAATCTTAAGTATTTTAAGTTTAAAATTATATAACTATGTTGTTCAAATAAAATTAATGTCCTTAAAAAGAAACGGAATGTATGCAGTCCAAATATTCTTACTTTCTTTGAGTGACGTCCATTTTTATTAAAAACAAACTTTTTAAATTAACTATTTTAAGATAAATGAAGTGTTTTTTTATTTATATATCGGTTCCTAGTCTCTTAAATAGTAAATTCGATAAATTGACCTATAGCTTATAACCAAAACCTTAGGTAAATTCGGCTCTTGACTTTTAAATATACATGTCGCCCGCGACTTCGTCCGCCCGGGAGTAAAACTAAACGTAATTAGTAGTGTTCTTCTAGACTATGTTCTATATGTATGTCAAATAAACATACATCCATCAAAACATTCGCATTTATATAGATAGATATAGACTAGCTGTCGCCCGCGACTCCGTCCGCGCGGGATTAAAAAATAGATGCCAATTCTCAGACCTCTCAGAGACTCGATACGCTCACAAAATTTCATGAGAATCGGTCAAGCCGTTTCGGAGGAGTATGGGAACGAAAATTGTGACACGAGAATTTTATATATAAGATTAGTTAGAGGTAAAATCTTACTAATATTATAAATGCGAATGTTTAGATTGATGGATGTTTGTTAGAAATTATCTCTAGTATGGATTTCGCTGAAATTTGGTTTAATTGTAGAAAATAATCGGAAAGAACACATAGGCTACTAATTATTTATAATGCCACGGGGAAACTCACGCGACAGTATAAGACAAAAAGTGTTTGAAGGAATTATATTTAAATTTTCTTAGTTCTAACGTAAAGTGATGTTTGTCTATGGATTGGTATCCAGGGTAGAACTTACTTGGCAATCTTAGACAGTAGTGCTGAAGACTTCTCTCTTGGCGCCCGGGGCTCCAACACAGGAGGTTCGGGGGTCTTTTGCGCTGCTCGTTCGAACACCTCGAATCTAGACTTCACGTCCAATTGCGCTAATTCTTCTAGACCTAAGTCTGGTTTGTCTGAAGCTAGAATTAATATACTATTGTTACAAATGCGAATGTATCTCTGTCTGTCTGTCCTTCTCTTACGCAAAAACTATTAAACCGATTTAAATTAAATTTGGTATACATATAGTCTAGAGCGTGGGAAAGGACATAGGCTACTTTTTAACGAGAAAAAGGGGTTGTAAAGAGTTGAAAAGGGGGATGAAAATTTGTAGGAAAGTATAATACTTACTTGAAGTATACTTTCCGGACAATTCAATTTTTGTAAAAATGTTATCCTTAAGGGTGCAAAATAACCATAGGGGATGAAAGTTTGTAATATAATATGTGAGGAAATTTATGCTTGTGAAATGAAAGGGATGATGGGTTGTAGATGTCTCTATCTCTTCAGTCATGATGTCCACTGTTGGAAAGGTCTCCCCCAAAGATCTCCACGATGATGAGTCCTGTGCTACCCTTATAATACTTTAGTTAATGACACCTTACCTCTGACAACATCAGGGGGTAGTTCCACTGGATTACTTTCGCAAATTATCATCTGATGTTTCTTCGGTGCGGCTGTAATAAAATGTTACATATCTTACTAATATTAATGCGAATGTATGGATGTTTGTTACAATCTATCACCAGAACAGTTACATGGATCGCGCTGAAATTTGACATAGAAGTAGAATATAGTCTGTAAGAACTTTTTTTTTAAATTTCGCGTGTACAGAGTCGCAGGCGATAGCTAGTCATTAATTAGGTTAATTATATTGTAGGTTTTATATATTTTCTGAGGGAGCTAACCGCGTTTGTAAGGATTTTCATCTGATTAGTTTCCTTTGATAGACTATTTAGTTTTATTGAACACCGGGTCAGATAAGTTTATCTGACTATATGACATTGTGGGTGGGTAGTTTTTAAAGTAAAAGAAATGTTCACCTACCGTCGATTTCATCTTCATCATCAACTGGTTTCGGCTCAAAGAGTTGCTTGAAGTGAGGCTTGCAGTACAGCGTCGTGTGGTCGCTTTGATATGTCTCAACTCTGCAATATTTTATATTTAAGGTATTGTCATCACTTTCATTATGTTTGGAAGAAAAGAGACAACAATACAGAGCTGTTGAATTTTTCGGTACCGGTACCGGTACGGACCAAATATACAGTTGACTTGTAGTCGCTTTGCCTCTGCTGACTGAGTAGACAATTCGCGTCGGCGATTCAATATTAGTTTGGAAGACTTGCGTCGCTTTGTGTACGAAGAGGCTTATTCCACTAAGCATTTATTTCCTATTTCCACTATCGATACTACGACTACTATAAAGGATCATCATCGTCAGCTCACACTGAGAGGATTCAAAGCCTACGCCAAGTTAAGGCTGACCCAGTGCGTGTTGACTTCACACATATATCTTTTAATTTCTTCTCAGATATGTGCAGCATCACCATGTTTTCCTTCACCGTAAGAACGTCGGATAAATGTACATATATAAATCAAAAATGGAAAAACAGATAAGTACATGGCGGGATTCAAACCCAGGACCTGCAGGTTACAAGTCAAGTCCTTTAATCCCTGAGTCACCGACGCTCTATAGAGAATAGTCTCCTGTAATTTTCCTCTCTACTTACGTGAGCTGTTTGTTGCATTGTACGCATCTGAAGCACTCCTTGTGCCAGGCACGTCTCTCAGCCTTCACACGCTCCATAGCGTACACTGGTCGCGCACATTTCTCACATTGTGGGTTGGATTCCCCGTTGCTTGCTTTTAGCTTTTTATGTAGCTTCTCTGAGCTTTTCGACTGGAGAAGAAATTTATTCAATATTCAATAGTTTTACCATGGGTTTCTGAGACTATTATCTCTGTATAAATTCGTAATCCCCGTCATTATCTTTGACAAAATAGAGTGAACAATATGTTTTAAACGGAGATTTTAAACTCAGAAACCCACGGTTATCAATTGGGTTTTTAATTATTTACGAGACCTTGCTTCCAAAAAACAACAATTGGAAAGACCACGAGTTAAGTCGGAACATTTTAATGGAAACTAACTAAAGTGGGGTTGGTAAGCCATATTACTTATACGCTGGCTTGTAAGTCTACTATTCTTATGAACAACTCTGGTGGTTTAAACTTTTAGTATACTCCTGAAGAATCACACATCATCAGCTCACTATACCTCCCCACCAAGGGGCTCGGAGCCTAAGTTAGGGGTGACTAGGCCATAGTCAACCACGCTGGCCAAGTGCGGGTTGGTTGACTTCACAGATATCTTAAAATTTCTTCTCAGATATATGCAGGTTGCATCACGATGTTTTCCTTCACCGTAAGAACATCGGATAAATGTACTTATATATATCGGAAATCGAAAAACACATTGGTACATGGCGGGATTCGAACTCAGGACCTGCAGATTGCAAGTCAAGTGCTTGACTCCTGAGCCACCGACGCTCTAGACGCCTGAAGAATACTTTAACCTTAATTTTTGCTGAGGGCAACCCTAAGCCTAGATTTAGTATGTTAATTGTACACTAAGGGCTTCCTAAGAAATAAAACTTACAATAGTACTTACCACTGATATAGACCCTTCTTCCTTATGTCGTTTGGACTTGGTCTTCTTCTTGACCTGTCTCGTCTCAGTCACGTGCATTTCTTGGAAGCTGTGCCGTGACTCCTGCACCAGGCTCTGAGTCTCCAGGCTGGCCGTCACTGTCGCCATGGTAACGTCTTACTGTAACAATGGAAAGTAACGATAACATGGCCAACTAGCTATCGCCCGCGACTCTGTCCGCGCGGAATAAAAAAAAACTATTGGTCGCAGCGTAATGTTATATAGCTTAAAGCCTTCCTCTGTAAATGGACTATCCAACAAAAAAGATTTTTTAAACTCGGACCAGTAGTTCCTGAGATTAGCGCGTTTAAACAAACAAACACTTCCTCATTATAATATTAGTATATATTAAAGTGATCAAGTTTACATCTTACTAATATTATAAATGAGGATGTTTAGATGAATGGATAGATGTTTGTTAGTAGGTATCTCTAGAATTACTAAAAGGATATTGATGAAATTTGGCGTAGATGTAAAGCATAGTCTAGAAGAACACATAGGCTACTATTAAGTTTCTTTTAAAAGCCAAGTGGTCAGTCGTGGGCTTTAAGCCCTGTCACAACACAAATATAAATACAATCTCATCAACATTGCTAAGAGAATGATGATTAAACTATTTGCAGCGACGTTCGCTCACCGCTGCCAAATTGCACAATAATATGCAGTTTCGTACCAATATCGTACTTACGTACTGAAGACGTAAAGGCTTTTGCAGAATATCAGTGTTTATACACCCCAGGGGTAATAAACATATATCTGAGCAAATGCAATCGCCCGTAACTCGAATTAAAAAATAAAAAAAAACTCTACAACTGTGCCAAATTCCGTTGAGCCGTTCCGGAGATACCTTCAAACATACATCCATCAAAAAAATATAATAGCATTTACAATGTTATTAAGATTTCACAGTAAAAAAAAAGAAAATCATAAAATCTCACTAATATTATAAATGCGAATGTTTAAATGGATGGATGTTTGTTTGAAGGTATCTCTAAAACGACTGAATGGATCTCGATGAAATTTGGCATACATATAGAACTTAATCTGGAAGAACACACAGGCTACTAATTATGTTCTTTTTAATTCCGCGGGGACGGAATCGTGGCCGTCAGCTAATAAGATATAAAGGGAAAGAAATGAAAGTCGCAGAAAGTAATAAAAGGTGTATGACATTTACGATTACGATGAGTTTAACGAGAGAGTGGCGATTAACCAAATACCGACCGTATTATCTGGTAACTAGGGTGACAATGACATATGAAGAAAACAGAACAGTCTTAAAAAATAGAAAAAAGCATAGTACGTAGTTTAAGTGATATGAATTTTATTAACGACTAACTATTGTCCTTCGCTGTTTCGAGTTAAAACAAAATATAGTAATAAATATAGCTTATGTCAGCCGGGGATAGTGTAGCTTTCGAATAGTTAAATAATTTTTCAAATCGGTTCAGTAGTTTTTGAGTTTTTTTGTCACATAGAATAAAATCTTTATATTATAAGTGTAGCTTACTTACATTGTTTTGAAATTGACGATGCGAAACAAAAGCTAATGTAGATATATGCACTGTCTTGTTGAACTATAATTAGTAATCAGACAATGTAACATGTCTTAATCACTAGACTGACGACAAATGAAGACCGTAGGTATATTAAAAATAGCATTTGTTTAGAAGTTTTTTTGTTAAAATATAAATTACATTAATTGAGAAACGAAACATCATACCTTATTAAGGAAATTGTACAAACGGATACATATTGTACAGAATAATGGCATAACACTTTTTTAATAATAATTAAAAATCTTTTATTATAAATTAAATAAATATACAAATATGTTTAATGAAACAACAATACGTAACAAATTTAAGAGGATTTTTTCTCAAATGAGGTTGATTAAATATTTTATAGGAATGTCCTAACACAACAAAGCATCCATGGTAACCCTACCTGGGATATATTTACAGACATCGGGCGCCGCGCTAGAGTCGACTCGGAAAAGTCAATCTTCTAAATTTATCCGTGGCCCAATTAACTAACTGCAACTCGACACCATTCTTACATCTGATTGTACATAGGGTACATTATTATAGGGGTGGACAGAGATATCCATTTAATTACAGCTACCAAAGTAAATCTACACATACATAAATTATATTTACTTAGCCTTATTTCAGAATATCGCTAATCTGATCCAACTTACCTTACTTTTTTCTTACTAATATTATAAATGCGAATGTTTGTTTTAGATTGATGGACGTTTGTAAGAACGTCTGCATAAACTCGCTGAAATTTTGCATAGATGTAGTTACATAGTCTGGAAGAACACAGGCTACTAATTAACTTTTGTTGTAATTCCGCGAAGTCGGAATCGCGAGCATTATGACACTCATTTTTTTAAAGAATAGAGATAACAAATTGATTTTTTAAAGGTCTTTAGGCAATGGAAACATATGGTATTCCTACATTTTTGTTTCTGTCTACCCAATTAACGAACGGATGTGAAACTAAGGTACTAATTACAAAGTATCTTGGTGTTACGATTTCTGGTTTAGTAAACCTACTTTTAATAAACGTCTTAATTAATTCGAAGTAGACACATTGTGTTTTATATTTTTAAAAATTGAAGTAGCGAAAGTTAAATGACTTAGGTAAAATTTTTTTGGAAACGATAATAAAAATAAATAGTAGTAGTAAGTAAGGAGAGCGTCGGTGGCTCAGGGGTCACTTGACTTGCAATCTGCAGGTCCTGGGTTTGAATGCCGTCATCTACCAATGTGTTTTTCGATCTCCGATTTACATATGTACGATCCGACGTTCTTACGGTAAAGGAAAACATTGTGATGCAACCTGCACATATCTGAGAAGTAATTCAAAGATATGTGTGAAGTCAACCAACCCGCACTTGGCCAGCGTGGTTGACTATGGCCTAATCACCATTAACTTAGGGTAGGCTCCGAGCCCCTCAGTGGGAACGTACAGTGAGCTGATGATGAATAAAAGTAATTTTTCTGATGACTATGTTTTTTTGCACACTATGTATATTGTCTTTGAATTCGTAAAAGTAGAGTCAGCATAAAAAGTTTTTAGGTATTGAATGGATATGTTTTTAAGTGGTTCTATTTATTTAATGGAATTACAGTAGGTTTTTGAAACCAAAATCCTTGTTTAAAGATGACGGGGATGACGATATGTTTAATATAGAGATTTTAGCCTCTGAAATCAACGGTTAGAAAATTATTTTTTCAAATAGGATTATTAATAGTTATAAATTAAATGGTCATGTGGATTACTAGTGATTAAAAGTAATCAAATGAAACAGTTTGGATAGATGGATGGATGTTTGTTTGAAGGTATCTCCAGAACGGCTGAACGGATCTCGATGAAATTTGGCATAGATGTAGATCAGTCTGGAAGAATACATCAGCTTTAAATTAAGTTTTTTTTTTAATTCCGCGCGGACGAAGTCGCGGGCGATTGCTAGTAATACATACATTTAGATTTGATTTATAGATTTAATCGTGTAAACAAATGATAAAGGTATGCTTAAATATTGAGATATAGGGTTGTCTCTTTTATAGTTTGATCTTAGTTCTAATTTTATAATAGGGGGTTTGACATCTTCGTGTCTGAGTAAAACCTTATTTTGTTAATCCTTTCATTCTCTTATAGGATACAATATTAAAAGTTAACTGATTTTTTTTTTCATTTAGGGTTACCAATCTGGTTGTCGTTGTTTCGTTAATATTCGGGTCTACGTTATTTGGCAACCCTAGGTACAGAATACAGTGGGACGTTGGATATTCACACTCGGGGTGTATTTATAGCCAAGTTTCATATCGGAGCGATCTCCCACCTGAATTCCAAGCGCGTCATTAAATGTTTCACCGCTCGTATCGCGAATGTAGATTTTTTAGGGTTCCGTACCTTACGGGAAAAAACGGAACCCTTATAGAATCACTTTGTTGTCCGTCCGCGTATCAAGCTGGAATTTATTTTATTTCATATGACGATGAAACAAAAACAGTTTCATACATTTTATGCAACGGTTTAGAAGATTCTTAATCATACGAGGTAAAAAGCCGTGTTGGTTTGGAAAATGTCTGAAACAGAACTTATACATTTTCCGATTGGATCAATTAAGACATAAAAGGCATTAAAACAAAACAAAATCATCATTCGTAACCAAGGATGGTTTTCCTACGTTCTGGGCGGAATTCTTTTTGGTTTCGGCCCCTTTATATCCGACACTTTCGTCCTGGGCGGTCGCTCTACCTGCCCTACCCTAATGCCGGTAACACAGAGGGGTAAAGCAGAATCAAAATGTTTATGAATGAAATGCTGAGCAAATCCTTTCCCTGTCTTTTCTCAGCTAGTTACTAAAGTGTGTGTGTATTTTCTCCGACAGTTACTAAAGTGGCTTTTGTGTTTCAAAGTAATTGTTCAGGTTAGTACATCGTAACAGCAAGGAATCGGTGCACGAAATACGAGGCGTTACTATCTTTAAACTTTAGCGCTGGTTATTTTGGCACCGCGACTCCGATCCGAAGTGCCAACATGTCGAATTAAATGTTCGACCAACAATGCCCTTCACCTGAACTTTAGGCTGTGCACTTTGCGTGTATTCATTCAAAGCATAAATATATATGTAATAGTAAAAGTATTATGCTATTTATCGTCGGTTTCTGAGACCAATTTTCGTTCAAAACATTTTTTAAATTTATCTCTGTTTTCTCAAAGATGACGGTATGTTTTACTCAGAGATTTTAGTCTTATAAACGCGGCAGTCAGTTTTTAATATTCGTAATAAAAACGGTCGATTATTAGAATTTTATTAGAATATCCGTACCTCATATGTAAGTAATGCTTGAGCAGGATTTTTTCAATTACTTTTTAATACGAATACAAAATAAAATGTCCGTTGACTCTGTTATAAAGGAAACAAGGTCGTAACAATTTCCACGAATGTGCCTCGTCAAGTTGTTTTAAAATGTTTATGTTTGCGAGTGAAGAAATTGGCGCGCGTAATGCTAACTATATTTAGATACAATACAAAATCGTAATCGAAAAAATACAAAACAAAACCTTTTAATATTTGTGTTTAAGAATCTTTAAAAAAATAT